TTTTGAATATGGGGACTACATTTGCCTGTTTCCACAAGCCTGGCACAACTCCCGTGTCTAATGACTTTGTAAATAAACTTGCGAGGGGTCCGCTAATCTGTTCCTTGCACTCTTTCAAAACTCGAGGAAAAATTTCATCAGGTCCTGGGGATTTTGTCTTCTTTAATTTATTTATCTTCCTAAGAACGTCCTTAAGAACATCCTCTTTTCTGATAGTGATATTCTTTAATTTCTCTTCTTCATTTCCCTAAATATCAGTGAATATCTTGCGAAGGTCACAAATATTTTTTCCCAACACAGTAAATACGGTGATAATGGAAAGTAAACTATTTATTTGACCATTATACTTCACTTGACTATGTAATAATTTATAGCACAAAAGTATAATATTCTACTTGTCGAAAATATCACCTTTACACTGGTGATTGGAGGTTGGCAAGTGAGTTACCTACCACCACCACAGACACTTCCCCACCACCACCATTCCTCCAGTGACCAACTGATGTACTCAAGATGGATCTGATTGTTCCTGGCCACAATATTTGACTGTCAGGTGAACAAGGTAACACCGCCTCTTACACTGGGATTTAAAACGCTCATAGAAATCGTGTTTGGTTTAAAGAAGATAAATTATGAAATCACTAAGATATGGCAGCAGCCCATCTTATATCACCTGAAGATTAACTACCCTCCCAACCAAAAGTGGCACTTCTGTGTATAACAAGTAAAATCTGATTGGGTGCCTAATCTTCACGTGATGGCTCATGTCGAGCTGTGTTTGGCTGTTCTGAGTGGTTAGCTGCTTATATTGTTGCATACGTTTTGGCCTAAAGGTGCTGTTTACATTTTGTTCCCGACAATCATAGACCACTTAGAACACTTATGAATACACCAATGAAGACTGAAGGCATAATGTACACAGTTGAGACTCTCTATTACGTCGACTGGGAACAACCACTTATAAGGTTTGATCATGGACACTATTAGGTGTTAATCTAATGCTCATAATCCTCTAAAGCCGTGTTAAAGGACTCCGAATAAATGCTAAACCGGATAATGGTCTAGGGGAGAAGGTCGGGTTAATCAGCGTGGGTGGTCGCCTTGTTCTGGTACCTAACCTTAAACTCCTACAACCAAATCAAGTTGAAATGGATTTCTACCCCAGTGAAGCTGTCAAGATCATTCAGAATAATTGAGTCCCAGTCATCAACATTTCTATACAATTAATTGGCTATCGAATTGACGTAGAATGGAGAGAGAAACAAGTTGTAAGGGAAATATACACAGCGACATACCTTATATTTTTCAACATCAACACACACATGATGGCGTCTGTATTTTATAATCCTTGACAACTGGATGTATTCATTTAGGAGCATTTTGTAAACGTTAACTTCCATCACACATCCACCAATCGCCTCGACCGTCTCACTACTGGCCAGCTCCCTCCCTCCACGTCTGGCTGTCCTTGGTCTAAAATTCATCCACATCTCCACCACACACTGAACCATCTCCAGTACGAACATACGCTCTTGTGGTGTTGAAGCACATGATATAAAGCGTCACTTGCGAACCTTAGTAATAACACTTAATCGGATGGCTGGCGTGGCCATCTTTGTTTTGCTTAATTTGACACCACAAGAAAGTCCTGATACCTTCCAAAGTGACAACTGAGAGCTCGACTCCCAGACACTGAACCACCCGATCGAAACTTCTATCTAACCGACGCTCTTGTAATGATAAGGACCGGATATTACATGTAAATGCTCACTAACAGAAAAACTGAGTTGCTTCTGCAGGAAATAACGGGAAACGTTTTTTATTCAGCTGATCAACAAAAATCACAGATGGTTCAGAGAAATGTGGCTCCAAGCTCGACTCCTGATTCAGCGCTTCGTTTGTGGTGCCCAGCCACTCAGAACTCTCGATACAGATTCAGCGCTTCCTTTGTGGAGACCAGCCACTCAGAACTCACGATACAAACGACAGGTTGACATATTCCCAAAGGTAGAGGTTCTGCACGATGAATACATTCTGAATATATTACACGTAATGTCATGTAGATAATCAGAATTTATTGCATATGCCAAACAAAGATTTTTATTTGGTATATTACGATATATTTATTTTTATGAGAAAATCTACAAAATGGCGTAAACGAACCGAAATAACCACTAATTTGTACCAACTGACACTGCTGGTAGTCAAGGCGGGCGGGGGAGAGGGCTCAGGGGTGGTAATGTGTGGTGTGTATGATGATGGATGATGATGAATGATGACGATAATGATGGCGTATATGTGATGACGACGATGATGATGAATGATGATAAATAATGAATGATGGTGATGGTGAATAATGATGATGATTGATGCTGCTGAATGATCCCCAGTTATTATAAGACAATTCATCATCACTACAGACACACTTGGTTTGATGTACAGGGGTTAGGTTAGGTTTCATTTCACCCCACATTATGGCTTCGTCCCCGTGCAATAATAACCTACCTCAGAGTTCCTCATTTATTATTTATGAATGTTCAGTCAAACTAATTCCCTCAGTGGCAAACCTCTGGATGAAAGGCTAAATATAAATTGATAATACACGCGTAGTTGCTAGTGGCGTGGTTCCTAGGGGATGGAAAGAGAGAAGGAGGAGGAGGATGGAAGGAGAGGGGAAGGAGGGAGGAGAGGGGAAGGGGTGAAGGAGAGGGGGAGGGTGGAAGGAGGGAAGGGGGTAGAAGGAGGGGGGGGGGGAGGAAGGAGAGCGGGTGGAAGGAGAGGGGGAGGGGTTGAAGGAGAGGGGAGGGGTGGAAGGAGAGGGAGAGGGGGGTCGATGGAGAGGGGGAATGGGAGGAATGAGAGGGGAGAAGAGGGGTGGATAGAGAGGGGGATGGGGTAGAAGGAGAGAGGTTGGCTCTTGACTGTCAATTAGTGCTAAGTATACTGTACATAGATCGTCATTATAGGCATCAAACACATAGGCTATTATGTGGGTATCAATTAAGTTACACATGAGCCATGATGTGGGTGTATCCAAGTTGATCAGTTCATCACAAGAGGATCATATACACTTCGCCTTCATGTTTCAAGTTCAGTTTACATGTAGTTCTGTAGCTGTTATACCTTTGATGTCTTTCTGTGATGAAATTCTTTAAGATTTAGAAGAATAGGTTATATCAAGGCCATGGTACACTTATTCTATATGTTTTTGTTATTGAAAAAATAAGTGAAGTGTTTACTAACCATATTCTTAAGAACTGACTGACAGAACAGACTTCAGTACACATAACATGGTGACATCATGTTAGTTTTCCTAGTGTAATTAATTATCTCATCCTTTGGTTTTAGGTGCACAGGATGGGGCCGTTCTGGTTTGGGCCATTTTCTCCTGCTACCTCCAGTGACGGGAATATACTGAAGGAGACAAACTGTAATGTTAATTTACAGTATTGTGAAATTTAATGAGTTCATTGATGATACCTATACTTGATATCACTTTACATTATATCCTCTAAAATAGGATGAAATTGACTTAGTATGTAAAGGACCTAAATACACGTTTATACACAATGTATACACTAATATGAGGTCCACCCACCTTGTGCATCACTGACCTTCTGCAGCTTCCTAGGCATTGAGTTGACAAGGTTCATGCAAATATTGGGGCAATGGTGGACCGTGGATGACTTTTCACACCCTATGTTCTGTCACCTCGATAACTCCCGATTTGCACTGTCAACTCTCCACTCGTTGACACATTATGGACCACAGGTTCTCAATAGGGTGTAGATATTAGTATCTCTATTTCAGGGTGTTGACGAAGCCAAGCAAAACAACCCTGGAGGTATGGATTGAACTTCTATCCTGAACAAAGATCACTATATCAGGTGCAGGAATGGCCATGGGACGGCCTCTAAGTAATACCATTTCCTCCAGGATGTTGACGTAGTGGTGAAACGCCCAGTAATATTAACCAACTGATTCTCCTTATGTGCAGCAGTAAGCATACTCTTCTTGGCTGGGGTAAAACAGTGTACTTGCTGGTCGTTCCAGTATCTGACATGTTTTTACATAAACAGTAACGGTGACAATTTCCAAGACAGTTCTACTGGACTCCCACATTACTATGATTTGACCTCGGTCGGCTAAGACCTCCGGCGCGTTGGCCCTTCCTGTTACCATTTCTGTCTAAAATGCACTGAGGGCAGTAAGGCATGGGAAGTAAACTACGTGAAATTAAAGAATTCATAAATGGAAGAGAATGAATATGAGGAATGAACCGTAATGCAGAATGGTCCGAGTATCTCTTCTGGCTAGGCAACAAGTTCAGGCGCCATCTTTTGTGCGTCATTCTACAGTAATGGCTTCAGCGAGGAAAGTTCAAGGATTTTAGACCTCGGTTGGATACTGTTGCCTTCATTTATAACTGGTACAGTGGCTGTCGTGTATTGTGAGCTGTGGTAATCTATGAACATTGTTTATAGTGGACAGATGGTAGTGTGGTAGTGAAGGAACACGACTAAGAGATGGTACCTTATTCCTGACGTTACGCCACAAGACAATAACCACACAGGATATGCGCGCCTTGACAGATAGTGGGGTGGTGTGGGGGCTGTTTATTTACCATCCTTGGTCTGGTTACTATAGTGTGGGTAGTTCTGCCCATTTTGGTAGTTTTACTGTGATGTAAACAAACAGTGGTGCCACACCCACAAAACACGCCAGCCACTGTACCCGTTAGTAATGGAGGCAACTTACACTGCGCAGTAGATGTTTGTTGGGTTTCTTTACCTTAAAACTCTTCTGTAGTGTTTGAAACCACAACTGGCTGAATACAATTTACAATGATGTAGAACAAGTGCAACAAACTCCTAATATGACACTACCTGTAGGGTGATGTCAGCTTTCGCCACAGAGACGTTTGTTGTAGTCAAGTTTCAACAAGTGATAGATATTTGTGGTAAATTATAAAGATTGAGGAACACGAGAAAAAATCATCATCTCTTAAACAGCTTTTATTGCTTAAAACAACGTAGTTATATACACTATACAAAATTCTTGATCTCCTACGTCCCTATAGAGTGCCTAGCAGGGGGGTGGGGAGGGGGGAGGGCAAGTAAGCCTCGTGACGGTAGCACAAGCCGAGGGAGGGAGGGAGGGGAATGGTCTGGGGGTTGGGGAGGGATGGCCGTCGCGCCCTCAGGGTAACGCTTGGGGACGTGCCTTACCCTGGAGGCGTCAGGGCAGGGGAGGGAGGAGGGCGGCACGGGGTACCTTCCTCCATTCGGCAGAACAAAGGCGCCCGTCCCATAGAAATCTGGCTTCCCCGGCCAGATAATAATAAGACAAAAATAAGAAAAATAACAAAGAAAAATCACACCCAATTAAAGCCATAATGACCCAATTGCTACATTCGGGTCGGGCTTTGTTTGGGTGGATGTGTCTGGCGCGGGGAGCCAGGTTGGACCAGCTCCAACACTGGTTTGGGGGAGAAATAGGAAATCATTGAGCAGTGAGTTCCATCACGTAGCATACTTGATGAACAGAGATAGCCGTTTTTTAGTTTTTCTTATCATATTCCATGTAATATATATCAAAGCCCACTATTTTTTTTTTCATGCGCTCTACATTAATAAGAAACAACTCAAATACTGTTCACTCAAAATTCAAGATAATAAAAAAATAATGACATGGATGTCCGTGTAAAAGGGGTTAATATCGCTTGAAATTGAGAGCTGGTAGTCCAGTTCTCTATGAGCACTCCAGAGCGGTAAATTATACTAAAAGATAACAGCGATTCTTGGTAGTTTGTGGCTGTGTCTGTCCCAACGACTGGGAGAAAGACAACAAGTATCAACTTTTGTTGGTGTCTCACGCGGCGAGGCTTCCCAAAATGAGAAGCCTCAGGTTGAGTCTCAGATCGGAGCTTCCACTATTGAGGTAGACAAAAGAGAAGGAACCAATGGAGCCTCATAAGAAAATCGAAAATATTGGAAATTTCGAGCGTAAAATTTGTTCCAGGGAGAACCTCTTGATGCAGTCGACGTGAACAAAAAGCTAACTAAAAACTTGGTGAGGGTGAATTAACACAACAGACCCAGAGAGAAGGGAAATTCCACACTTAAGATTCAGTATCAGTCTTGAAATCTTACTAACTAAAAATCGACAGTAATAAAAAAAATAAAAAAAAATCCGTTGTCTTATACATAACGAGACAATTATATAGTTCGCAAGAGTAAACCGACAGACAGACTACCTAAAGTACACCCTGACACTAAATATTACCAAGTCAATTAAAATAATCAGTTAAATTAAAATAAGAGATTTTCCGATGAAGTGTTTTAACAGTTATGACTAACATGAAGGTCGAGGTACTGTATTAAAGTGGTGGTTGAGGGAGACATGACCCGTTATGAAGGGCTCAACTCAGATATACTTCATCTCACTTAACCAGCAGTCTGACGCAGCAAATACTGAGGATTTTTTTTCTGAAAAGTAAAATGACTCGGGTGGAAGCGATAGACCAAACCTAAGAGCAACAGATACTGGGTTTTATATATTATGTAGTACCACATAAATTATAAAACTGAAAATCCCACTGTAAGAGAAGATAATACAGAGAAAACATTGTATCTTGACTGTAACCTACGGTCCTCTCCCGCTGAAGAAGACTATAGGGTACAGTCAAAATATATAGCGTTACTCTTACTGAATACTTTAATCGAAGTAATCCATTACTTGAATCAATATTCGTAGTTGCTTGTTGTTATAATGTTATTACTGCGCTCCAACAACTAGGTAACAAGGTTAGTAATTAACACCAGTCCAACAACAATTAAAAATTATGAGATAAAACTCTTGGGTTTGTTGCTGTTACTTACGTCTAACATAACTACTGATGACTCCAAATAAACCCTTTTTATATGCTACTGAATAGTTAATTTAAAAGAAGTGATTACTTACATTTAAATAAAGTGTTCTTAAAGAACATAGGCTATTATCTACTTCCACACAGTTCACAATAGTTATTCAGGAAGGAAACTAAAATGATACAGGTCCTCACTATAAGCAAGCTCGTACTCAGTTTAAATACAAATAAATTTTCCTTTAAAAGTTGTACATAGAAGAAGCTCCTATTCACGCATGGGATCGGATTATTAAGTTGAAGCTGAATACTCGATGTCTCAGTATTGAATAAGCTGCCAGCGAAGAGAGAGTTGGAAGAAGTGTGGCGTCATGTGAGACCTTCCTTCCCGCCACAGTAAACAGATGGTTGTTGAGGGAGGCAGACTGTTGTAGCATGATTGTCACTTTCGTAATGCTTACTTAAGAACTGAAATAAGTAGCCTGTACAGTCGCCAGTGCGTGTGTGTGTGTGTGTGTGTGTGGAGTATAAAATGCTACATAGACTCATAAGTCATGGGCGTATACAAGTTAACGTACAGGAAATAGTCATGAAAGTAAAAGCCATGTATGCGAAGTGGTTGTGTGTGTACGGATGAATGTATACCAAATAGTGGTGTGCACAGAAGAGTATTGAGCACAATGTATGGCACAGAAACCCAGAAGTGTGGACAGGAACCATTGAATGTAACAAGAAAACAACCCGTAACAGCTTCTTTGTCTCTTGTTAAATTATATTGCGGCTTAAAACAAAAACAAAGCAATACAAAAATTAATACAAAATAATGCATTAAATCTTTTGCCACCCACAACTAATGAATATACCGGCAAAAGGGGGGCGATATTGTTGGATATTTTGTGTTTAACAATTAACTGAAACATCCATATCAAATTGTAAACTCGGATTGTGGGTGAGGTGTTGACGCGCCCACAAGGACTTGGGTGGATGGCCTTGTTGTGTTACTCCATACAAATCACCGCCGCCACTCATCACCACACGACTGCTCAGGTCATCCGCTATAACAAATCTCTATAAACTTTCACTAAGATGCACACAGTCGCGGAGTCACAACACCATAGTAGGCAATAAAAACAGTAAAGAAATTATGGCGGTTGGCTGGTGAGTGTGGTGGAGGGAACGGAGCCGTGTGGGCGGGTGAGCTGGTCCCCGACGAGCGGGAAACAGGACTACAATGTTTAAGTCATCAGAGTAGACTACGGACTTGACCGACTGTTGACACCAGTGTGAGATTGGTTATTTTTCTAGACCCTGAAGGGATTTCACACTCATCTTTACTCGATTTCATTATCAGTCCCAAAAATGTGTTGTAACACATTTACAAAAATACTTAAAACAGGAAGTGTTGAAATGTTGTGAGTACCGAACAACCTTGAACGACTTACTCAAGCGATAATGTAATGATGTTGGAAATTATACCTAAAACTGTGATGCTTTGTAAATCAAGAAGGGGGAACTGATACTGTTAGATTCGTCTACATCCTCTAAAGTTATTTTTTTTTCAGATAGGTAGTTCTAACAAACAAACACTAGATAATAAATCTATTCCTAAATTAGAAAGCCTTTTAGCATTTACAGCGTACGCGGCGGGAAGTATATGAGATATTATTATAGAAACCCAGATCTAACTTAGTCTACTGACCCGAGTCACTGTCAGCCCAGCGTGCGGGGGTCTCTCCCAAGCGGTGTGTTGGAGGAGCTTCAGTGACACTCCGCTGGTGGTGTGACGGAACTTTGAGACAGTTAGAAGAAGTTTTCTATAGTGAAAATATAAAACAATAATAGATGAACTTATAGACACAATACACGTCTGGCCTTAGGGCACATTCCCTCTCATCATAGGGTCGTAGCCTCCACTGATTTCCCGTTTCAAGAATTTTCTATAACTTGCGAGAGCCTCTATAGCGACCGTTCTTTCCGTTTAGCCTTATCATTTGAAGCAAATATTTGGTTATCTCATCTACAGTATCAAAATATTCATGTTCTGAAAATCACACACACACTTGCGCACTACAAATTTCTCAATAGTATCCGTATTCTTTGCTATGTGGAAATTCTGAATAAATAAAAAGCAAAGGAACTTCCTATTCTTCAAGATAAATAGGGCAATATATATATATATATATATATATATATATATATATATATATATATATATATATATATATATATATATATATATATATATATATATATATATATATATATATATATATATATATATATTATGTAATGGATGAATGACGTATGTCTTTCTAAATGGATGATGCCCACATTTGTTTGTTATCTTGTATCAGTTCTGTACTGTATAGTTTTCATTCAGTAAAACATAGTAACAGCTCCTGTATTGGATCCATGTTTCATCCTACACTTCACTCTATAAAAACACTGATAACATGAGCCAATTTGGCCAGTCACTTAAAAATTGCAAGATTCAGCTGCTGGATTAGGCAAACACCTTATCACAAACAAACAAACGAATACAACACACAACGAAGAAAGAGCTTACGATATATTCAGCTCATTTAAGCATCATCGTGGCAAATAAAATCTTTCGCAACAGACACGTATAAATGGATTGAGAGGAGAGGCTTGTTATTTTGATTCCACTAACAGTACAGACATAGCGGGTAGCGGGGCGGGGAGTTTATGATCCAAGCACTCGCCTCTTGAGATGGAAATATTACAATTATTTAGTTAGCTGTGTTTTCTGAATCAGGATGTCACACTCAAGTTTTTAATGATCAAAACTTAACCAGTGACTTGAAATCAACATTACGTGTCTATCTAAATGTTGATAACAGATAACACACCCGCGAAAAAATGAGTTATGAAAACTTAGACTTGACAAGAACCATCAGCGCTTGTGTTTCTTAGCAGTTAAAGGTACCATGGCATTGATAGGAAAATCCAGTACCCGTAACCTCTTGAGTACCACTTAAAACTAGCCGCGAAACTTTATCAAGGCTCACGCAATATACTGCCTCAACCAAGTCTAAAACAGTCAAAGACCCCCAAGGGTTATATAACACTGTTAGAGAAAACTGAAGAGCTAATGATTATGTAACCGAGATTAATCACACCATATAAAGATATCTTCGCAATGATACAATGCTTCGTATAGTCTCTTCTCTTTAAAAATACTTTTAATTCCATCAGGAATTGGGCGCATTCGAAAAAGAATCCCTGATCAAGCGAACGATTCGCTGACCTATCGGAGGGCTGTCAGAAGCTAGTGGCACACGCTGGGAGTTCTCTGACTGATCAAGGAACGATCATGTTGATAAAGAATTCAGCTTTCGGAGGCACCTGAAGACAGAAGCATGAAGCAAGCTCCTCGGAGCAGGAAATGCTAGGTAACTTACACTCGTTAAAGCATAATAACTATCCAAGACCAAATGAAATGCACTAATACTTGTGAGCAAGACAATAGAGAGTTCTTCTGTATCTCTTTCTCTTCATTTAAAATAATGTTCTATTGTCCATGCTAATAATGAAAAGACAAGCACTGCATTCCACCAGGCGTCTACCCGAGCAAGCCTCTTGCGTACCGGGGGGGTGACGCTCCTCTCGCCTCACCCGAGGAGTGCCATCAAGTATGACCTTGAGCATGAACTCCAAACCATGTAATAATTTACATACAAATTTACTTAATACCTATTTATATATGTAAACATATGAAACATGTCGCTAAAGTTCGCACCTATGAAAACTACAAATATCTAATCATTATCCTGATTGTTCTGTTCTGGCCTGACATACACATGATCGCGGTGGCCTGCGTCTGGAGCGAGCTCAGCCACGCTCACCACAACAAAGAAACAACAAAAATGTTAATATTGATTTTCTGGCAATACGTGCTCCACTTCCACGATTATCTGCGACACAGACACTCACACATGTATACACTGATACATATATAACACTCACGAATCCACGGACACTCGTTCTTGCCACCAAAATTTCTCACACCCACGGAGGCACACGTAAACCATCGCTGGCTCTGCTGTCTGTCTTGAGCAGTGATGCCAGAAGAGTTGAAGGTTAGAAATACTTATTCATTTTTGGTATAACGAATATTAAAAACAAGGATATACACCCTCTGTGTACTGGGTATACCTCATGACATCTTTGTATTTTACCGTTGTTATAAATGTGATATATATATATATATATACTGTATGTGTATATTTTTTTTTGAAGGGGAGAATAATACATTTGAGAAGCTTACACAACAGGGTGAGCATCTTCAAGTTGTCCATCATGTGGAAAATACGGGTTAAGGGTATTACAGGTAAACTCTCACAGACACCTGGCGGTCATCACGACGAACCAGGAGGCGGCTGGGACCCCAAATGGACCCTGAGGACCCTAGAAGGACCTCGAGGACCCACAAGCTGAACTGCAAGGAATCTTGGAAAGCCCCGGAGGACAATCAGAGGAACCCCGAAGGCTCCAAGACTCCAAGAAGACCCACAAAAGAACCCTCAGAGGACTCCAGAGTCTTAACAGTGTGTGTGTGTGTGTGTGTGTGTGTGTGTGTGTGTGTGTGAGGACTCGTTGCCTCACCACCCATAATACTGATTTAACACAACCAAAAGCACAAATACAGAATTGGCACCATGATAAAAGAGTACTTTGAACCTTATATATATATATATATATATATATATATATATATATATATATATATATATATATATATATATATATATATATATATATATATATATATATATATATATATTCTCTTAAAATATTTGGTGTTGTGTCAGCGACCATTGCACACGAGATATCACATTTCTTTATTTCTTTCCTTCATTTTCTTTATTTCTTCATCTCTTCTAAAGCACGAGAGCAATTGTTCTTTTTCTCATGCTTCTTCCATAGAGAGGAAATGAGAGGGAGAGTGTGAGAGAGGGAGAGAGAGAGAGAGCAAGTGAGAGATATATACACAAGGGTTTACATCCTTCAGCATCCTGGGACTTCAATCTCCCTCGTTACCTACACACCTCCACTCCAGTGTAAAAACATTTTCATTTTTTATCAGTATTTTTTTTTTTTGCATTTTACATTATACACGTTGAACTCCAACACGATAAAAGTTTTCTCTCTTCACTTCCCTCTATATGTGTCAATAATCTTATCCTGGTCAACGTATTCAAATATATGAGGAGCATCCATTAGTATACCAATCGTCCCGGCGGTGGTCACGGCGAAGAAGATATACAATTGGAGACGATCAATCACCATGGCGACGTATTTCCAGTCTTCTCGTATCTGAAAGACAAAGATAAAGAGAGAAGAAAAGATGGAAATTATACACAAATGAAGAAAATACTGCGATAAACATCAACAGTGACCCAAAAAAATCGGATACTATTTTCTTCTAGACTCTGTAACCTCAAATGTTACGTTGATTGGCGTTCATATACACATCTTTTATCAGGGATCACATGACTTGAATGATTTACACACAGTAGTATTGGTGACCCTCACTACACCCCACCATCAGACAATATCTCATCACTTGAAGATTAGACACCCCAGCTTATTTCACCGAAGATTTGACACCCCAGCTTATTACACCCTTAGATTAAGTACCCAGCTTATTTCCCTGGAGATTAACAACTATAATGCTAACTTAACCTAACCTAACTTAACCTCCAGAACTTACCACCTGACACTCACCTAGATGTACTCATACCTCCAGCACCTGACACTCACCTAGATGTACTCATACCTCCACCACCTACCACTCACTTGGATGTATTCTTACCTCCAGCACCTGACACTCACCTAAATGTACTCATACCTCCAGCACCTGACACTCACCTAGATGTACTCATACCTCCAGCACCTGACACTCACCTAGATGTACTCATACCTCCACCACCTACCACTCACTTGGATGTATTCTTACCTCCAGCACCTGACACTCACCTAAATGTACTCATACCTCCAGCACCTGACACTCACCTAGATGTACTCATACCCCCACCACCTACCACTCACCTGGATGTACTCGTCTTCATTTCTCAGGTGCTCAGCTATGAACTCCACCGCCTCTGTCGCTTTGTACGCCTCCGGAGTAATGAACAGCGAGTCTGAACTCTCAGACTCGCGACGCGGCATCTGCAACAGTGGAGACTACTCCATTAGGACCAATATCTTACCCGAACCTGTAGGACCATGCCCCCCCCCCTCCTCCCCCCTCTCCTCAACTATCCTACAGCTTGTTAAGTGTTATAGCTTCTGTATGTAAGTTAGTGTCGAAACATTGTCAAGCCAATTCTTTCAATTCTTCTAATTTACATTTTGAATTAAATAGCAATTAGGTTTATTTCTTTATTAAATGTAACGATTCAACAAATAGTAAAGATTTACACCTAAGCGTGGCGTTATGATCACTGCTTACCTCTCTGTTGATCTTGCAATTAGGGTGGTGGAGATTGGAGAGCTCCATCTGCTCGATCTTACTGGTTCCTTTGTCGACCTCTGGGGAGCCGTAATGGTGATGTGGGGGAACTCCTGCCGTGACGGAAGGATGTTCACATTTAATAGTATCTTATAATTCTAAGGGAAGTTTAAAAAATGTTCTGCTATTAATTGTCCACCTTCCAAAACAACAACACCAATATTTTCGGAAACTGGAATCGGTTGCATAATTTATGTATTCAATAAAGGCGTATAAGTGTTTTATTGATGGTCAACGTGAGAGCCTCTGTTTTTAACGTTATAAACAGTTGTGTTCATGATACCAAAGTAAATGCTTGTCTCAATATCTATCATCCGTGGACTCAATGTTTTACACAGTGTGAACAGTTACTTTTCTGAGATACTATACCATCGATATATCAGTTATTGTCACTCATTACATGTGATCAGCTGCAATGAACCTTATCAATAAGCTCCTTACGGCAGTATGATCAGAGACTTTTACCTGACTAACGATACTTCTAAAAACAGCAAGATATTGGGATCACCTGAAGATTAGATATCCTAACTTATTTCACCTTATTTTAACTGACGAGTGAACACCCCAACGCTAACCTAACCTAACCTAACCTAACCTAACCTAACCTAGCCTAACCTAACCTAACCTAACCTAACCTAACCCCCCATCCCAAGTGGCTTTAGGTTGTTTATTATTTAATCATTAGATGAAATAAGCTGGTGTGTCTAATCTTCAGGTGATGTGGGTACTGTTAAATGAAGCTGAGTGATATAAGAGTCTCACCATAGCTGTATTTTCTAAAGTATATTCCACCATCTAAAAAAAAATAAAAATAAAAATAACTCCTTTTATGCCTACTGTTTTTTTTTTCATAGAGGCTGTCAAGCAGTAGAAAATTTGATTTTTTTTTACCCCTTTGTAAAGTTGTCACGGGGGTTCCATACCACCAGCCGCCTAGTTCACGTTTCATCCACTAGACAAAGCCGCTAAAACTGGCATAATAGAATGACAAAAAGGTGATAGTTGAGTTGCTCTATGATGCTGAGAATCTAACTCGTGCATGATTCTAACGAGTATATGATGATTCTAACTTGTGCAAAATTCTATCTTACACATGATTCTGAACCTGTGCATGATGCTAAACTCGTGTGCTTGATGTTGTGAGATTACTGACCGGTCATCTCATTCATCCAGTGTAGGCGAGTCTTCTTGGGTCGCTTCATAAACAACATGATGGGAAGGTACTTGAGAAACATTACCCTGATCCAGTTGGGCATTCGATGAGTCCTTGGACCTCTGTAGGGAGAATGTGTGGATTAGAACGACAGGAATGATAATTAACTTGCTATTCTCATCTGTACGGTACATTCTCAGACAAATGATACATTATTAATGATAACTAACAATCTGTAGACTTCTCTGTCCCTCACAATCAATATTGTTTCTTCCCTTCTTCCTCCCTTTATCCTTTTTTTCCTCCCCTGTCTCTTTCCCTTCCGTAACCGTAACCCATCTGAAGCAACCTTTGTCCAATTCCTTTCCTTCCTCCCTACTTCACTCCCTCTCTCCCATGCGCCGTAACCCACCTGAAGAAACTCTCGTCTACTCACCTGAAATTCCAGTTGATGATGACGACGGTGACGAGGATGGAGACGGTGTTCATGACGAAGGTGAAGAGGAGATATTTGGCGATCAAGGGAAGCACCAGCGATGTGGGGGGCAGGATCTTCGATACCAGCAACAGGAACACAACCAGGGAGAGCAAAATGGAGATACCCAGCGTCACCTGTGGGTGTAATTTGGTCCTGTTAGAGGTGTTGAAGGGGAGAGGTGAAGGTCTCGAAAATTTAGTGTATCTGGCAGCGAGATGAAACAAGTACTTAAGAGGGTTGTGAGTTTATGAGACACGAACAAAAACAAAAAGGCATCTATATACAAGAAGATATATTGACATCCACCAGTATCTGTCAGTCTCAACTTCCTTCCCACAAATTAAACAACAGATGTCCACCATAAAAAAAAGAGATAATTTTACATGCTTCATAATTTGTATCTTTGGATTAACGAATTATAGTTTCTGTCTTTCTTAATTAAAGGTGCACTCATCTAGAGGTAAATGTAAAATCAGAATTATTGAAAACTATTAAGATTTGATTTCTGTAAGGAAACCCCTGTTAATCCTTTTGAGTACCTTCCCACATTACCAGACGGATTGGGTCATTATATTTAAGGAATTAAGACAATGTACTCAAGGGATTAAGTTATTGTACTCAAAGGTTAAGTCATCCTACTCTATTGATTAAGTTATAGTAATTAAGAGGTTTTAATAACTTAATCCCCTGATATATCATATTCAAGGGATTAAGTTATTGTACTCAAAGGGTTAATATATCGTACTCATGCACTGGTCATTGTACCCGGAAGGTTAGGATATCGTACTCAAGGGGTTAAGATTTCGTACTCAAGGGTTAAGATATCGTACTCAAGGGGTTAAGCCCACAGCGGTAATACTGTTCTGAGGTGATGGACTGTGGCTGAGATAAATATGCGAGTCTTCCATAAATAATGTTTGATAGTGGTGACTCCGTCCTTCCTGTGAGCCATAGTGGTGACTCTCTCCTTCCTGTGAGCCATAGAGGTGACTCCCTCCTTCCTGTGAGCCATAGTGGTGATTCTCTCCTTCCTGTGAGCCATAGTGGTGACTCTCTCGTTCATGTGAGCCATAGTGGTGACTCCCTCCTTCCCGTGAGCCATAGTGGTCCCTCCTTCCTGAGTGGTGACTCCCTCCTTCCTGTGAGCCATAGTGGTGACTCCCTCCTAGAGTGAGCCAGTGGCACTCCTTCCTGTGAGCCATAGTAGTGACTCTCCTTCCAGTATAGTAGTGACTCCTCCTTCCTGTGAGCATAGGTAGTGACTCCTCCCTCCTGTGAGTTAGTGGCAGACTCCCTCCTTCCTGTGAGCCATAGTGGTGACTCCCTCCTTCCTGTGAGCTATAGTGGTGACTCCCTCCTTCCTGTGAGCCATAATGGTGACTCCCTCCTTCCTGTGAGCCATCGTGGTGACTCCCTCCTTCCTGTGAGCCATAGTGGTGACTCCCTCCTTCCTCCCTGTGTTCCATCTTAGTCTGGAGGACAATTATCTTTAATGATGTCCTCTTTAAATTACTTCTCTGTGGTGCGGTACACTGGCTCTCTCGCTCTCTCTCTCTCTTCCCTTTTCTCTGGAGGTATTCTTCTTTTCTTAATCTTCCTATAATTATTCACCCCCTTCTGTATTCTTTCTCGTTTGCCTATTCCCTTCTCCCTCTCCGTCTCTTTCCTTTCTCTCTTTATTCCTTATTTATTATCATATTATTCTTAAACTGTTCTTTTATCTTTCTTTCTGCCCATTCCTTCTATTCACTAGCTGACTTTTCCCTCCCTCTCTCTCTCTCTCTCTCCAACTTTTCTCATCGTATTTTCCCTCTCTTCCATTCTCCTATTTCTAGTGTCTCTTTCTCCCTCTTTACTTCACGGTTCTTCCTTTCTCTCTGACCATATTTCTCTTTTTATTATCTTTACACTCTCTCCTCCTCTTCCCCCTCTTCCTTCCTTTTCCATGTTTCTTGGTTCCCTTTTCCCTCTCTTGTCTCTCCCTCCTTCCCTTCCCTTCACATTTCTTTCATTAGTTTTCATCCTCTCCCACTCTTTCTTCTTCGTTCTGTCTTTCTCCTCTCCCTCACCTCCCCTTTTCTCCCTCGTTCTTCCCGCATCTCTTCTCCTGTACCACTGTTTTCCTAATCTCTTTCACCTTTCCTCTCCCCCTCACCTTATTTCCCTCTCACTCTCTCCCACTCTCCCTCGCCTATGTTGAATCGGGGGTTCTTGGGGACATTCTTGCTGTTTCTCCCAAATTTGCTAGGCCACACTGATTAGTCTTCAATTAGAATATGACGACCAATGTATATGAACCACTGTCTTGCATGGCAGTGAACAGTGACATTACCCACATGATTCTGACCTATATGCACTGTCAATAAATATGATGTATTTCTTTGTGTATGAACCTCTGTCCTGCGTGGCAGTGAGAAGTGACACCAACTGACTGAATTACTCACAATAGGCAAACTGTACTCCAAGCTTTGTCAATAAATTTGTTAAACTAAAACTTAACTCTCCCTCACCTCACATCACCACTCCTCACCATTTCTCTCCTTCAACTCAACTTCTCTCCCTCATCCCTCCTCACCTCACCACTCCTTACCCTTTCTCTCCCTCACTTCACCTCCCCCTCTCCTTTACCTCACCTCACACTCCTTCTCTCCCTCACCTCACCCTCCTTGCCTCACCTTCTCACCAGCCTCAGCAGGGAGGTAGAAGACGAGGATGCAGAGGAAGGAGATAAGCACAGTAGGCAGGATCAAGTTGACGGTGTAGAAGAGGGTCTTCCTCCTGATGGTGATGTAGAAAGTGATATCTGTCTCCGTGGGGTGAGGCGTGTTGTTAATTACGTTCAGGAATGCCGGCACCTGCAACATAAAGTAGAGTGTTAGTTGTTTGTGTTACAGTCATTGTTGTTTTGGTTGTTTGGTTACGTACATGAAATAGAATCTCTCTCTCTCTCTCTCTCTCTCTCTCTCTCGTACCTCTACAATATCCCAGGTGCCGGACTTCCAGTAGTCGGAAAGGTCGACGAAGTTCTTGGCGTTGTAGAGAGAGAGGGACACTTGATCCCCGTTGAACGTCCACGAGCCGAACTTCATGAGGCAGGTCTGTTGATCGAAGGGGAAGTAGGTGACGTCGATGGTGCAGGAGCTCTGTGGAGGAGACGAAGGAGTTAGTGATGCTGTGGGCAAGGGAGGGCAGGGGACGGGAGGGGAGAGGAGGTTGTCATTATTACCACCACTACCACACTTCAACTCAGGCGTGAAACGGAAGCTTAAAGACAACAACAACCAACAAAAAACACCCAGAGAATATCAACAAACCTGACTGTACGTTTCAAGCGGATCAGAGCCCACGAGGTCAAAGGGAGGGAATAATGGACGGGAGATGAGAGCCTACAGGATTAATTCTTCCTTCGGTGGACTCCCTAAAGACGACCTACTTCACTAAATTCTTCCTTCGGTGGACGCCCTAAAGACGACCCACTTCACTAAATTCTTCCTTCGGTCGCCCTCACAGTAGAGTCATGATGGTCTGGCACTGATATATTAATAAATAAAAATCAATGGGCGGGCCAAAACAGAGTCAAAACAAGGGATCCATTAATCATTTACCCCTGAAGGTAATGAAGAATGGGAACATGTCCTGCTGCCAGGGATTTAGGGCGGCCACTCACCGAGCATTGATAAACAATCCCTCCCTCCCAGGCCACCTACCGAGCATTTTATAAACACCCATCCTCCCTCCCTGGTCATTCTCTGGCTACTCATCAAGGATTTTATAAGCTCTCGTTCTCCCCCTGGTCACTCATCGAACCTATATAGACCTCCCTTGGTCACTCATACAGTTTTTCCATATCCACTGGCCACTCACTGAGCCTTTCATACACATTTAGTCCCTCAACTGTCGTAGCTAACTGAGGCTAGTCACCGAGCTTAATAGTTACAGCCATATTAATAAGGTTAATAGATGTAACCAGCTAGGGAGATCAAGCCTGAGCCTGTCCTTGTCACCGAGCGAACTCAACCAGCCCGGGCCACTCAGTGAGCCGAACCCTCCTCGACCACTCAGTGAGCTGAACCCTCCTCGACCACTCAGTGAGCTGAACCCTCCTCGACCACTCAGTGAGCTGAACCCTCCTCGACCACTCAGTGAGCTGAACCCTCCTCGACCACTCAGTGAGCTGAACCTCCTCGAGTGAGCTGAACCTCCTCGACCACTCAGTGAGCTGAACCCTCCTCGACCACTCAGTGAGCTGAACCCTCCTCGACCACTCAGTGAGCTGAACCCTCCTCGACCACTCAGTGAGCTGAACCCTCCTCGACCACTCAGCGAGGTTAATATAACGGCTTTGTCAAAGAAGTCAAGAGGTGGACTTAAGACCGCCTTATAGAGCCACGGAGCTGAACGAACTCTTGGGTCTCACCGCAAGTTGTGGCTACTCGCTCCTCCTCATCTCAGAGATGAGAAGAAGAGTCTAATACAATTAATCTCAGCTGGAAGTGAACTTTGCTCACACCAGAAACTTTTGAAATTAACTCCGGGTTGAGATGGAGCGGAGAGCGTCTTGTGTGGGTACTGGGCTCCTGACGACGGCGGTATTACGGCGCGTGAGGGAGGGAGGGAGGGAGGGATGGATGGATGGATGGATGGATGGATGGATGGATGGATGGATGGATGGATGGATGGATGGATGGATGGATGGATTAATGGATAGGTGGGTAAATTGAATAATGGGTGAATAGAAAGATAGATTGACATGAATAATTGGGTAGCAAGGTGGCTAGATTGATAACTTAATAGATGGCTGGATGGGTGGATAGGCAGAATAAATCTAGTAGAACGACAAGGGATAGGTGAGGTGAGGTGAGGTGAGGTGAGGTGAGATGAGGTGAGGTGAGGTGAGGTGAGGTTAGGATTAAATTAGACTAAGTTAGGAAGGGATTAGGTTAGGACCAAGTTAAATTAAGTTAGGTTAAGCTAGAAACAAGATACATAGATAAATTAAGATTAATTATTTTTAGGATTAGATAAGTGAATAAGTGACTTATACCTCAGTAGATAAGTAGCTAAGTGACTTTTACGTCAGTAGATAAGAAAATAAGTGACTTTTACCTCAGTAGATAAGTAGCTAAGTTACTTTTAAAGCAGTATATAAGTTGATAAGTAACTTTTACCCCCATTAGATAAGTTTTTAAGTAGATGATTTACTTAACAGAGTAGAAGAGTCGATAAAATAGCCCCATTAGACGGGTAGATGACTGACCTGGTAGATGGCAGGAGGCACCCAAAGGACCTCGCCGTGAGGGTAGATAAGTACGTTGCTCTTGTACCGAACCTCGTAGTTCCCGTCGGCGCTGTGGACAAAAGACACGCATTAACCCATGACGTAGTTGGGTATGTCTTAGGAACCCATGACATTGCTGGGTGTGTCCTAGGAACCCATGAAATTGCTGGGTGTGCCCTAGGATCCAAGGCCATTGCTGGGATCTTGAGAAAAGGTGACTAACGGGGGATTCCTCACGATAAACGCATAATTAATTACCCTGATGCTAACCTAACCTAACCTAACCTAACCTAACCTTCCGTTATAACTTCCATTTTTCATACCGTAAGAACAATAAACACTAGCACACACCTGACACACAGCAACACACACCTGACACACACACACACCTGACACACACAGCAACACACACCTGACACACACACACAGCAACATACACCTGACACACACAGCAACACACACCTAACACACACACAGCAACACACACCTGACACACACAGTAACATACACCTGACACACACAGCAACACACACCTGACACACACACAGCAACACACACCTGACACACACACAACAACACACACCTGACACACACAATAACACACCTGACACACACAGCAACACACACCCAACACACACAACACTTACACACCTGAAACACACAGTAACACACACCTGAAACAGCAACACACATGACACACACAGCAACACACACCTGACACCACACACCTGACACACACAGCAACACACACCTAAGACACACAGTAACACACACCTGAAACAGCAACACACATCTGACACACACAGCAACACACACACTGAAACAGCAACATACATCTGACACACACATCAACACACACCTGACACACGACACCACACACACACAGCCCCCCCACCCCCCCTGACAGCGTCCCTTGACTTCCTCTATCGACCATCCGGGACCGCGTACGTCTTGGCTCTACCTCCCACTGACACTAATTTGAGGCCACTGAGCTCTCTCTACCTCTGAGGCTTGACCTCCTAAACTCTGAATCTCTGGAAATTACAGAAATGACTCCACGGTTGATCAGAACAACGATCGCCATTCACTAGTACAGCTGCGGCCCTGACAGTCCCTTGGCACCATCTGGTTGATAGTTTGGTGGACGATATCAACCACAAAATCACCGAGACAAAGAAAAATATGAGGAAATAGACAATGAAATCAAAACCCTATTACTTACACGACTCCTCCCCCCCGCACCACCCCCAGGGAGACGCCATAACTCAGTCTTTACAAATGAAAGTTTGGAGTGAATTATCTTTTTTTTCTTCAAGCTGTGGAATCGAGAACAGTATTAGGCTTCAAAATATCCCTCGACAAAATTTAATCAGGAACAATGGAGGGATCCTACACACGCTACTGGCCTCCTCCCCTCGGCCTGAACACCTCTAGTGGAAGGACCATTAGGTAAATAGGTAAGGTAAGGTAAAATACTTCCTTACATAGATGAACAAGAATTCACATCACAATATAACCAGTTGCATTAATGTTGCGATCATGTGTACTCGACAAGGACTCCAGTATGGATTATTTTAATAACCTTTTGTTTATTGATTCGTGTTTTCCTGACCCCTGACACCTACTATCCTGATACCTACTACCCTTTGCACCTGACACCAAGTTTCAGGTCAGCTTCAAGTTTACATGATGGTGTCTTATCTTGGTTCGTGACTAAATTTAGTTTCTTAGGGAACATAACCTTGGTCAGGCCGCGAGAGGTGAACTGGCACGCGCGTCTCTGTGTCACCCACCCACTGTGTTGTGTAGCCAGGTGTGTTGTGTAGCCAGGTGTGTTGTGTAGCCAGGTGTGTTGTGTAGCCAGGTGTGTTGTGTAGCCAGGTGTGTTGTGTAGCCAAGTGTGTTGTGTAGCCAGGTGTGTTGTGTAGCCAAGTGTGTTATGTAGCCAAGTGTGTCGTGTAGCCAAGTGTGTCGTGTAGCCAAGTGTGTCGTGTAGCCAGGTGTGTCGTGTAGCCAGGTGTGTCGTCTAGCCAAGTGTGTCGTGTAGCCAAGTGTGTCGTGTAGCCAAGTGTGTCGTGTAGCCAGGTGTGTTGTGTAGCCAGGTGTGTTGTGTAGCCAGGTGTGTTGAGTCTTGCCCACAATATACTGCTCTGTCTCCAACAACCAACGTTTACTGTACACATGAAATAAATATATAATGTGTACTCTTAATGTTATGTTGTGGTAAAGTGAGTAACGTCTTTACATTAACTAACGCTATACTAAGATATATATTAAAACTAATAATATACCACAAAACAACCCGGGTCAAGTACCGTATGACCTTTGACCCATAGGATGACCCCTCACCTTAACTCTGCCACAAGTAAGAAGAACAAATTCAGGTGTTCATGTAAGAGGTCAAGAGGACAATTAAAGGTCAAAGGTTAAATATATAACCTCTAGTGTTTGACATATATATATATCGCTATACGCTCAGTCATAGTGTGTCAGGTGGTGGGTCATAAATCAATAAGTGTCAAGGTCTTGTCACTCACAGCTGCCGGTTATGTCACTCTAGAACTCAACATTATAGTAAAAGAAATTATTTGTTTGGTGAGCCTGTGTGTGTGTGTGTGTGTACTGGGGGTGTGTGTGTGTGTGTGTACTGGGGGTGTGTGTGTGTGTACTGGGTGTGTGTACTGGGACTGTGTGTACTGAAGGGACACACACACACACACACACATTTGGTGTACAATATTGCTCTTGTCCAAAAACTCAAACTGTAACCTATGTCCGTATTAACAACAAGAGCTCTTATACTATAGGAATATATATGTCAAACTTTTATACTTTCTCTCTAACTTTTATCTTTTAATATTATTGCGCTCGGAAAGTAATATTTTGAATATTTTTTTTCGATGGGAGTGAGCTGTTTGAACGCGTTTATTGCTTGCTCTCTCTCTCTCTCTCTCTCTCTCTCTCTCTCTCGCTCTTTCTCTTTCTCTCTTCTTTGTGTTTTTGTCATATTCTTTATTGTATTTTATTTCTAACTCTTTCCCGTTTTCCTGTGTTATCATTTTCGTTGTTCAGGAGATTTTTTTTTGGGGGGAAGGAGGGAGAAGGGAAGGAGGGAGAGGGAGAGGGGGAAGGAGGGAGGGGGAGAGGGGGAAGGGGAGGAGGAGGGAGAGGGGGAAGGGGAGGAGGAGGGAGAGGGGGAGAGGGAGAGGGGGTGGGGTTCACATAATTAATCGTCTCCCCCATAACACCACCCGACTCCATGCTATCCACTCCTTCACGCACACTGTTGCTTCCTGGCTGTCCACCACCCTCACCATTATCCTAGGCGCCTTTATGCTTATTACTTCCATTCTTGGTTTCTCCCTCTTCTTCCTTTTATTCATCTCTTAATTTTATACAATCTTCTGACCCATTTTTCACTATATTTATTCTTCTTCTCCATCTTTTTACCCTTTTTTCCCTACCATGTCAGATATAACAAGTGTCTAGGGATTTTTTGTTTTGGTAACATTGGGATAGATTCGTGTCGCGTTATCTTCTACCCTCCCCACAAACAGAGGGTCATAAGGTCGAAACTCACTTGTTAAACAGTACGATGTCCGGCTTCCATACTTTATCGGGCGGAAGGCGAAGCACTTTGATGCCACCATAGTCGGCTGCGTCCCATCTAAGCTGGTAGTCTTTCCATACCTGTAAGGAGGAAGACAGTGTTATTCAGAAAAGCTGGACTCACACAGGTGAATACAGGTAAGGGCAAGAGGTACAAGCATTAATTAGGTAGTTGATTTAGGTCACCAGGTGTTTCTTGTGACCGAAGCTAACTAATGCTAACTTTACCTCACCCAACATTATGTAATCTAAATTGATCTTATTTAACCGAATCAAACCTCTCCTAACTTAATGTAACCTAACCTAACCTAACCTAACCTAACCTAACCTAACCTAATCTAAACTAAACTAACATCATGTAACCTAACTTAACATAGTCTTATATAACTTAACCTCACGTAACTTAATCTACTCCAAGTACCTAACCAAACCTAGTCCAACTTTACCTAAAACTAATATAACGGAACCTAACCTAACCTGAACTACCTTAACCTAACATAAACACAAGCACATTAACCCAAGTATTACCCTCGTGTCTGCAGGTTGGCGACCCCGGCCCGGCCCTCCACTCCAAAAGTTTTCGGATTGTCCTGAGCTAAATTTTTAACACCTTTACACATATGTCGCATAAGTAAGTGGCAGACATTATGCGACGTCCTGAAGGTGTTGGTTAGTTACGCAGAATAGTGACGTTTTGAAAACATTGGTGAAAGAAAATAAAAAATAATTTGTTTGGGAATAAAAAAAAAAAGTTGGTGATTTTTTTTAAAAGTAGAAATGTCTCATAGGCTGTAAGACACTGAATACTAAACCTCGGTGCAGAAGTGAACACTGAGGACCGGTACGGCAATTTTCAGCCTTCATTTTTCCCAACTGTAAAATGACCAATTCACAGCTGGGTGAACTGGAGGTGCCACGGGCGGGAAACAACGACACTTAAGACAGGAGGCGACAACTGTACCTTAATGGACAAGTTAAATAAGACGGAAAATCGATCGTAAGGACAAAAATCTTCTCCAGTTCCCAATAAATTTCAAATCTGTATTACTGGAAATTGTAGTCTGGTTATAATTATTCATGAATGAGAGAGAGAAAAAAAGCAGTAAATAAAACACTTGCATCAGGAATTTTTACCTCATTCATGATTTATTTTCTCTGCAACAGTTTGCAAGACGTTGGGAAAAAAATCGCAAATTGACAAGGGTCAGCTTTTCGCAATGATAATTAGTAGCGTCAGAAAAAGGTGAGTTTTACCCAATTTTAATAGTTGGTTCATGAAGCCAACAATTAGGACTCGCTATTGAGTGACAACAATGGCGGAGAGGAACAATGATAGTGGTCGTTGGACATATAGAAAATAATACTTTTAAAGCTGATCATTAACTTCCATAAAGGATCAATGAGTGTCACATAAATCAATATATATATAAAACCATTCAATAATTCTATAATATTTCAGGTTTGTATCGTGAATATACGACAGACAAGGGAACCATATTCACGTGCCCACAAGGTGTTGTGTCGTCAGCTCATACAACAGTTGGCAGGACTCCCAGGGTAGGTGACCGGGTCCTGGGGCTGAGGACTGACACAGGACCTCTTCTGAGATATCCTACACCGCCTTAACCCAACGCTATTCTTAACAGTAGGAGTGACATGGTGAGATAGATAGATAGATAGATAGATAGATAGATAGATAGATAGATAGATAGATAGATAGATAGATAGATAGATAGATAGATAGATAGATAGATTTACTCGTGAATTGAGCATAGTCCAGATTATTCACTATTCATTCATTTTTAACAAGTTTTTCCTCTAGTATGTAACACAAACACAACACAGAAAACAACACAAAAAAAGCAACTCGTATGTTTCTCTATATAGGAGGAGGGGCATTTTGTTTTTTATTGAAGATATTTTGAAAATTTCTGAACGCACGTACGGACATATATATGAGGGAAGAATGGATGGAAGGACTGACGGAAGGACTGACGGAAGGACTGACGGAAGGACTGACGGAAGGACAGACAAACAGATTTACTCCATCTTCCTTCGGGTTAAAAGTCTCTGTCGAGGGATAATAAAAAAAGTCCCTCTTAAACATTAAAAGAAATTCATAATCCCGACGGGAACAGAACGATGGTTTCCTGGACCCCAAAAGAAGGGTCTCTCCTCCAGTAGGACTAGGCGAAGGACACTCTGGTCACAAAAAAAAAGATCTTTCAGCGAGTTAGAATGGTATAAGGACTCTCCAGGTTCCAAGAGGGATCCTTCACCCAGCAGCGGCAGGAGGTAGATGGTGGAGGGGGGGGGGGGGCGATCCTGGGTTGTGGTTCCTGGGACACTACAGTAATAAGGTCTCACTGGAAGGACATCAACACCAGCTAGGACTCCTTAAAATACAGCCGCTCTTATTACTAAAGTTTGCCCCCGTTTTCTATTGATACACAAAGAGAGAAAATGGGAAACTTAATACGACGAACTTGTAGTGGATTCCTCCCCTACAAGCGCCGTTTGTCACTCAGCCGACCCTTTTCGAATTCCCCAGCCTACGCCTCCAGCGCCGCCTGACGGAGCGGGGGTCAACTATCAACCCACGCCTACCCCCACCTTATAAGACCTCACCCCGCTGTGACCAGCCTCATTCTAACTACTGCCACCAGCAAGCAACACCTCCTCCTCCGCTCCAGCCTGGCGGCTCCCGCTCCCGCCGGCGACCTTGACGGCCCTCAAGCCGCGTGCCCTCCTCTGGGCACCCTCACCAACCAGCTCTCTCTACTCAACGCTTATAACCATGCTGCTTACCCAGTATCAAGCTACATTGTACATCCAATACAATATGTATACAGAGAGCACAATGTGAGTTTCCTTTCTCCATCCCATCCTGAGTGTGAACCAATATCTCATAACCCCACAAACTAAGTGGATGTGCATGAGACTTCTGTTATCTTATATCGGACGAGTCTTTAGAGGAGTGCTGTTTCCTGGTTGAATTTCTTTGCTTAATTAATTTACGATCTATCAGCACATATATCAAGTCACTGCTTACACTAGACAACAATTAGTAATTAACTCTGGTGGTCTTTCACGAGGATAATAATTCATGTACCTTTGTCACGTCTGGATTAGTTGAGGCTGTGAAGAAGACTATTAAATATAAAACCCAAGTGTTTAAAAAATCCCCCCATTTGTTTTACTTAACCATATTGTAATGATTTTTAATTTCAATACAAGTAATTATCACTACTAATTGACCATTTTGAATTATTTTATTACACTCGGTTAGCTTTGTAATTCCTATCCACATTTATGTAAGTATATCACCCTATTGAAATATATTACTCAAAAATATACTTCACATGTGATAGATATATCCCCCCCCCCCCAAAAAAAAATACCCAACATGTGAAAATATATAACATGAATGAAAAAATATCACACCAGAAAAAAAAAATATCGTTCAGAGGGACAAAAACATCGCGTTCCAAAGTGAAATTATTACACCCCAAAAATAGTAAACGACATTTGTAGGTGAGAGACTTGATCGAGGAATAAGCGATCATAAACATATACAATAAAGCAGAAAAATAAGCCAGAGGAGAAAAAAAAGTTTGGCCAGAGGTGTTAAACTGCTCAAGGTGTTTAAAGGGGAAATAAACTAAAGAGAGGGCGGTAAAGTTTCGAGTGGCTGTGAAGTTCTTCCTTACCACACTAATTAAAACTTCAGCATTTAATTTTTTTCGTGTTTTTTTTTTTGGGGGGGGGGGGGGTGATTTTCCGATCTCTTCTCATTCTTGTTTATCGTGATTCTCTTAATCATTTATATCTTCCTTCTCTCTATTCCTCTTTTCTCTCTCTCTACGTCCTCTCTATTCTATCATTTCCTTCTCCTCCTCTTCCTCTCCTTCCCTCAATCTCTCTCTCTCTCTCTCTGTACCCACATTTTCCTCTCTATGTCCTTCCTTTACTTAACTAACTTCCTTCCTTCCTTCCTTCCCTCCCTTCTCTTTATCCCTTTCTCATTCCCTCACCTCCCGGTTTCTCTTTCTCTTCCTCTCTTCTCTGTCCCTCCCTTTCCTCTCTCTGCCCATCCTCTTTCCCTCTTTCTCCCTTCCTTTCCTTCTCTCCCTCTTATTTTTTCTAGTTTACAGAAATAGAACACACACACACACACACACACACAGCACTAAGACGGTAAAGTATTAGTGTACATGACTGTATGATAACCACCATGTACACAGAGAAACAGTACAGGTTATTACAGTACATAGTAGATCTTATCATTGTACTGTACAACGTTTTGTTAAAGATACGATTGTCTTGTTTATTGTAGATAATAAGGCGTTCACTTGGTTTAAGGCGTTCACTTGGTTTAAGGCGTTCACTTGGTTTAAGGCGTTCACTTGGTTTAAGGCGTTCACTTGGTTTAAGGCGTTCACTTGGTTTAAGGCGTTCACTTGGTTTAAGCGTTCCACTTGGTTTAAGTTTACTTGGTTTTACTAGGTTCCTTGGTATTGTTCGGTTTACGTTCACTTGGTTTATAAGGCACTTGGTTCACTGTTCGGTTTAAGGCGTTCACTTCGGTTTAAGGTATTCACTTGGTATAAGGCGTTCAAGGCGTTCACTTCACTTGGTTTAAGGTATTCACTTGGTATAAGGCGTTCACTTGGTATAAGGCGTTCACTTGGTATAAGGTATTCACTTGGTTTAAGGCGTTCACTTGGTATAAGGTATTCACTTGGTATAAGGCGTTCACTTGGTTTAAGGCGTTCACTTGGTTTAAGGTATTCACTTGGTATAAGGTGTTCACTTCACATAAGACGTTCGCTTGGTATAAGACGTTCACTTGGTATAAGGCGTTCACTTGGTATAAGGCGTTCACTTGGTATAAGGTGTTCACTTGGTATAAGGTGTTCACTTGGTATAAGGCGTTCGCTTCATATAAGGCGCTCACTTGGTATGAGGCGTTCACTTGGTATAAGGCGTTCACTTGGCACAAGCGTTCACTTGGTTTAAGTTCACTGGTAAGATAAGTTCACTTGATATAAGGCGTTCACTTGGTATAAGGCATTCACTTG